GGTAATAATTAATAATAATTTATGCATTTAGCAGACGCTTTTATCCAAAGCGACTTACAGTGCATTCAGGCTACACATTTTTACCAGTATGGGTGTTCCCTGGGAATCGAACCCATGACCTTTTGCGCTGCTAACGCAATGCTCTACCACTGAGCCACATTGATTCTAACTCCTATTGATACATTAATACAATAGGAGTTAGGAATTAATACATTATGTATATCAAACTACCTTACTATTCTTTCTTTTAATTTAAGATATTTTGCATTTTGTTCTATTAAAATCAAGCATAAACCAAACCAAAACAAACAAAACTTAATTTTTACATAATTATTATTATTATTATTAGTAGTAGTAGTAGTAGTAGTATTATGGTATACAACCAAGCAAAAAAGAATGCAAGAAAAGAAAAAAAAATTTTTTTTTCTTTTAACAAGAAGAACAGAAAGATGCCAGGAGCGATCATCGAACAAAGCTCACTTTTCTTCAGGAATGCTGGAGCTCCGTCTGCTGGATAATCCAGATCTGCTGGACTGCTGCTCTGCCGGATCAGAATCTGAGAATATCCACAAAACTTCAATACAATTAGCACGTGAAGAATCATTTCATAAATCAATGGCAATGCAATGTTACTGACCGTGGGAGCGTCGCCCTCTCTTTTCCCTGTAGAGCTGCTCTCTGACACAGATTCATCTCTCTTCTGACCTGCGTTTCATACCAGTAGCCCACATATCAGAAATCATGCTGCCTGCCTGTGATTTTCAAGCAAATTCCTACAGCAGACTAATTCTTAGTTTAAGTTACATTGGCTAATATGACAACTGTGCAAAAAATACAATGCATATATTTTGTTTAATGGCATCTTTTTGCTAAGTGCTATGAATAAACATCAGTTTCACTAATATCAATACAGATGTGGCCCTCTACAGTCTAATCTGTCCCTTCCGGTTTCATAATGAATGAAACTATTTTTACACTTCTCAATACAGAAGTTCTCTAACATGGTGCATTGCGTCACTGCTTTGGTAAAGCATCACAATATGGCTCAGGGCCTTTTGCAAAAGGCTGAGATTTATTTAAATAAGCATACAGTCTATCTGCATTTCAAAGCAAAGCACAGCACTGTTCACACAATTTGTAAACCAGCTTTCAGAGAAACAGCAGTTGTCCAACAAAATAAAACCTCTTTATATACTTGTTGCAAAAATAAAAATTTTTACATGTACATTTATTTTATAGTGAAGCTGTTTTACAATAGTTATTTGGGGAAAACAACACAAAATTTCAAGGTCCAGGTTTCAAGTCAACACTAAAAATACTTTATATTGTTCAATTTGGTCAGAGGATAAAAATTGAGCTCTTCATGAAGTTATTCTGGGGCAGATATTTAGTAGTCCTCAAAACATCTGATTTCACCAGTAGATTTAAACATTATTTTTAAGGGTTTCTACCTATAATATTTCAAATGAATAGAATCACTGACACTATACTAAATCACAAAAACAATTAACACAACACAACTGTCAAAAACTGTATTAATATAAAGTTTGAGTTATGAGTAACATCTGTGTCTAACACAGCTCTGTATTTTCAGCAAAGCAGACTGATGAATATTTCTATGTTGGAGTCAATCACATTTACAGGTAATTGTTCTCAAACTGTTTTCTAAGGGTGTGTTATCCAAAGCGACTTACAGTGCATTCAGGCTACACATTTTTACCAGTATGGGTGTTCCCTGGGAATCGAACCCATGACCTTTTGCGCTGCTAACGCAATGCTCTACCACTGAGCCACATTGATTCTAACTCCTATTGATACATTAATACAATAGGAGTTAGGAATTAATACATTATGTATATCAAACTACCTTACTATTCTTTCTTTTAATTTAAGATATTTTGCATTTTGTTCTATTAAAATCAAGCATAAACCAAACCAAAACAAACAAAACTTAATTTTTACATAATTATTATTATTATTATTAGTAGTAGTAGTAGTAGTAGTATTATGGTATACAACCAAGCAAAAAAGAATGCAAGAAAAGAAAAAAAAAATTTTTTTTCTTTTAACAAGAAGAACAGAAAGATGCCAGGAGCGATCATCGAACAAAGCTCACTTTTCTCCCGTAGTTTAATCTTCAGGAATGCTGGAGCTCCGTCTGCTGGATAATCCAGATCTGCTGGACTGCTGCTCTGCCGGATCAGAATCTGAGAATATCCACAAAACTTCAATACAATTAGCACGTGAAGAATCATTTCATAAATCAATGGCAATGCAATGTTACTGACCGTGGGAGCGTCGCCCTCTCTTTTCCCTGTAGAGCTGCTCTCTGACACAGATTCATCTCTCTTCTGACCTGCGTTTCATACCAGTAGCTTTTTTTTTCTTTTAACAAGAAGAACAGAAAGATGCCAGGAGCGATCATCGAACAAAGCTCACTTTTCTTCAGGAATGCTGGAGCTCCGTCTGCTGGATAATCCAGATCTGCTGGACTGCTGCTCTGCCGGATCAGAATCTGAGAATATCCACAAAACTTCAATACAATTAGCACGTGAAGAATCATTTCATAAATCAATGGCAATGCAATGTTACTGACCGTGGGAGCGTCGCCCTCTCTTTTCCCTGTAGAGCTGCTCTCTGACACAGATTCATCTCTCTTCTGACCTGCGTTTCATACCAGTAGCCCACATATCAGAAATCATGCTGCCTGCCTGTGATTTTCAAGCAAATTCCTACAGCAGACTAATTCTTAGTTTAAGTTACATTGGCTAATATGACAACTGTGCAAAAAATACAATGCATATATTTTGTTTAATGGCATCTTTTTGCTAAGTGCTATGAATAAACATCAGTATCACTAATATCAATACAGATGTGGCCCTCTACAGTCTAATCTGTCCCTTCCGGTTTCATAATGAATGAAACTATTTTTACACTTCTCAATACAGAAGTTCTCTAACATGGTGCATTGCGTCACTGCTTTGGTAAAGCATCACAATATGGCTCAGGGCCTTTTGCAAAAGGCTGAGATTTATTTAAATAAGCATACAGTCTATCTGCATTTCAAAGCAAAGCACAGCACTGTTCACACAATTTGTAAACCAGCTTTCAGAGAAACAGCAGTTGTCCAACAAAATAAAACCTCTTTATATACTTGTTGCAAAAATAAAAATTTTTACATGTACATTTATTTTATAGTGAAGCTGTTTTACAATAGTTATTTGGGGAAAACAACACAAAATTTCAAGGTCCAGGTTTCAAGTCAACACTAAAAATACTTTATATTGTTCAATTTGGTCAGAGGATAAAAATTGAGCTCTTCATGAAGTTATTCTGGGGCAGATATTTAGTAGTCCTCAAAACATCTGATTTCACCAGTAGATTTAAACATTATTTTTAAGGGTTTCTACCTATAATATTTCAAATGAATAGAATCACTGACACTATACTAAATCACAAAAACAATTAACACAACACAACTGTCAAAAACTGTATTAATATAAAGTTTGAGTTATGAGTAACATCTGTGTCTAACACAGCTCTGTATTTTCAGCAAAGCAGACTGATGAATATTTCTATGTTGGAGTCAATCACATTTACAGGTAATTGTTCTCAAACTGTTTTCTAAGGGTGTGTTCACACCTGAATCAAACTCAAGTTGGTTTCCCCCCTTGGTGCGGATCTTTTGGGCAGGTGTGAATACAGCAATCGCACTCGGGTGTGCACCAAACAACTGTCCCGAGACCCAGCTGAAGAGGTGGTCTCGGTCCACTTCCAAATGAACTCATGTGTGGTTTGGTTTACAGTTTCTGGTTCACTTGCAAAAAGTGCAGTGTGAAAGTGACCCGCACCAAACAAAAAAAAAAAATCAACATTGCATTTGGTCCTGGTGTGAATACACCCTAAGTATATAATGATTATTAGTGGGTTTAAGTGTAACCCAAATAAATGCTTCAAATACAACATGCCGTTTCTTTCTCTTTTTTTTTTAGAAAAGCAATCTCAGGCTACGTTTACACGACAACGATGTAGTCAAAAACGGAAAAGTTTTTCCCTTGCATTTTTAAAAAGTTTCACGTATACACGACAACGTTTTCAAAACGATTTGCGTTTATACATATCCGCTAAAACAGCCAAAAACATATGCCAGGCCAGTAGTTGGCGCTGTCACCTTGTTAGTAAACAGCACCTGTACGGAAGTGACGATTATATGTTGTATTGATGCGTCTCCGCTGTTGGTTGTAATATTGGTGAAGTAAATCCACACTTTGCTGAAGAAGCGTTAGCAAACTCTTGAGCAGCAACAACAGTACCATGTACTCCGCCATTGTTGTGTATGTTTGTTCGTGCTTGCCTTTAAAATCGACACGTACGACGCATGTCTACATACCTAACACGCACTACACACGCACATGACGTCACCATTTTCAAAGATTCCCGTTTTGGGAAACGATAACGCTGGCGTTTTCAAAAACTTGCACTTTGAAACCCGTTTTCAAAAATATGCGTTTTCAGTTCCCAAAACGCTGTTGTCGTGTAAACGAACAGGCAAAACAAATAAAAAGTTTCCCGTTTTTGGCTGAAAATGTTGTCGTGTAAACGGCCCCTCAGTCATTTTAGACTGTAAAAATCAGTACTGAAAGTACTGAAGAAGTGACGAGATTCATGTGATTCTACAACATATTAAACACATACTGTATCGTATGTCAAAAGTACTATTCAGCAACAAACGTTTATTTCTACACCCCTCCAGTCATCAGCCTATTACTGAGTGTAATGTGTGTGATTGTGTGGGTACCTGGGAAGGTGTCGTTGATCTGCTGTGTGATGTCAGAGGTGCTACTGCTGCGGGGCAGAGGACTGTCTCCATCCCCCATCTCACATTCAGACAGCTGACACTCCTCCACATCTAGTGGACAAGCACACACACACCTGACTCAATCACCATGCTTACCAGAACTCACAAGAAAAACTTTCTATTCATGGGCCATTTTCATACTAACAGGGCAAACATGCGTGCCGAAAATCTGATTATAAACTGTGCTTTAATAATTAAGTGGAAGTTTGCCACAAGCAGTTCTGAGGGCACTAATGGAAAACACCTTCTGAATTTGCACGATGATAGAGAATCGAGTAAAATAAGTTATATAGTGCGCTTAAACACTTTCCATCTGGCTCGTGAGGGTTTCAATCTCATTGACTGTCTACAAAGTTTGCATGCTCTTGCAAACACACTAAAGTTCCAAGTAGATGCTCCACATGCATCTAGAGATACTCTTTAATTCAGTTCTTGGAGCGGGAATGAAGTGAGCGAGTGTTTCCATTAGTGCTCTCTGCACTTCCTCTGGCGGTCTGGAATGAAAGGAAATAGAAGTATCCTTGTAAAAACAAAGCATTTATACACTGGATTATCTGCCTTTTCCTGGCTATGCTACATCGTAAATGAAAGCAGATGACAGCAAGATAGAAAACGGGAAAAGAAAGTTCCGTGCCGGAGACAGGAAACAGGAAGTTACCTGAGAGTCTGTGAGAGCAGTGAGAGTTGTGAGAGATACCAGGTAAGAAAGCGCTGACAGTGTGGAGCAGCATGGGCACACTCTTAGTGGCCGGCAAAGCCTCACAAAGATGCACACAGTTGCTGATAGACTGACTTCGCTTAGCTGTCCACAGAAGCAGCGAAGGAGAGTGCAGGGGAGAGAGAGAAAGAGACAGACAGAGAGAGAGACGGGGAAAAGGATCAGTTGCATTCTACAGCTGTGGTAATAGCAAGACAATTTATTAAAGGTGAAGTGTGTCATTTCTGTGCCAGCAAACTCACACCTCTGGCTGAGCCAATATTTAGGCTTCAGAATTCGTAAAGTTGTGTTCATTTGTAAAGATTATTCTGAAGAACAAAACCTTTTGTTGGTCACAGAACTTATTTTCTGCAATAATCCAAAAGCCAATGGAAAATCCTATTGATTTTTGTGAAGGGAACCAGGGTGATGCTGACTTATGGGTCAGCCTGCAAAAATACGTCAACTCAACACTGCTCAGACTGATGGTTTGTTTTAGGGATGTTCATTTTAACCTGTTAAAGCTCAAATCTGATCTGAAAATCCCAAATATGCATATAGTCGGAACTTGACACAACTCCTGTACTACTGTCCATTGGAAATTAATGACTTCCAGTCGGTCTTTCATCAGAGATAGGAAAGGTGGCTTGAGAATGACAGTCTGACACAAGCGATTTAAAAAAAATAAAAAATAGAATGAATCTTCTACACGAGTGACCTGTAAGTCTGGTGGCTTACAGTAACACTACACACCTTTCCTCTCTTCAAGCTCCATTGATAGATCAGTCATGTCTATGTAATCAGGGTCAAGGGGTTGTTGAAATGACTAAGCCAAAGTATGAGCAATAGTAAATACAGAGTTCTGGCATGAAACTCTAGATGGCGCAGTCCGATAGGTCTTGCTCAATCCGACCTGGCGACATTAGTCACATGGCAGCTGATTGGTTGTCTCCTGTATCGGTAGCCAATGAGCTTACTGCTCAATATTCAAATACCTGGCTTTTGTTTGCTGTAGCAGTTTGCAGCGCACTTCAGAAACCCTCCACCTTCCTCAGCTCCACCTGTATAGATCTTCTACGAGGTAGCATTCATGTAACCCTATATGGGGGTTATTCATATGTGTTATACAGTATGTGCAGCAGCAGTATTTCTTACATGCTTACAGCAGCATGTTGTGGATGTATTGGCAGTAGCAATTCTCGGTACTTGCTCTGCCGCAGCAGCAGCAGCATAGCAGATCTATTCCGCCAAGACCAAATACATTAACATTGTCATGTACATTACCATGCCAATCCCTCCAAGAGTTGTCATGACAGAACAGTGAACGCCAATAAAAACACACAGACTAAAATGCAGATTCTGTTTCACGACTCCATGAAGGCATCACATCAAAGCGCAATCTGAATGAACGCTGGAAGTGTTAGTTCTGTAAAGAGCCTTTTCACCAACAACCGATTGGTATTTTTACTAGAAATAAGCTGAAACAGAAGACACACGCGCTCTCGTTTGGTTCATGGCGTCCTTTGATACTCAATCCCGAGAAGGAAATATGAAGCACATTATTTCAAGTTTGCTCTGCCAGCTCTGATAAGACAAAATATTAGCATTGTGTTTTTTTGGCCACTACATGTCACGTCTGGAGAAAAGCTGTGAAAGCGGAGGGCTCTATTATTCCCTCTACGGCGCACTTTAATTACCGCCTTTTCTTTCTAGATTACATCGCTTTTGCCGTGTTACCTATTTATGCATATTAATGAGCATTAATTACGCTCTTAATGAAACTATCAAAAACAGGCAGGCAGTTTGATGAGGCGGCTCTCCTAACAAGGAGGGGAGGACGCTGGGCTGTTTGAAGATCAATGTAGGAGAAATCCAATTAGGCAAAAGAAAAGGGGGGAATTTAAAGCCACATCGTTTCATGTGCGCACACACAATTGAGGATGTTTCTGGGGGCGGCGTGTGCGAGAGGCATCCTTCAGTCTCAAACGCATCTGCTCCAAACTCAACAAGCTCTCCACCATAACGAGATACAATCATCTCCAAACCAGGAAAGATTAAAAGGGAAATATTTCTGCGCATGGAGATAAAGAGACAAACTCATGTTTGAGAGAGATTGTCACATGGATTCAGTTCCACTCGTTCTATACATGATGACAGCAACAGAAAAATTTCTGTCTCCACAAACGCTGTCCCACGGATGGAATTGTGGAATGCAGTCATAAAAATTTAATTTACAGCATAATGCAAAATGTCTTGGAATTTGGAAAAGTTTGCTGGAAGCTGGAAGAAATTGTGACAGAAATACATTGCTATTGTACAGTACGCTTCTCAAAGTATGCATTAATAAAATGATTAAAACGTTTTTTTTTTATGGAATATCAAATTTTTTCCTTCATGTTTTAATTTTAACACTAAAGTTCTGTTGTATAGCACTTTGCAAGACCAAAATAAAATCATTCAATTGTTGAAGTTTTATGAATTTAATTGATTATTACAATTTAATTTAACCATTAAAAAAAGAATTCAGAAAAACTGAAATGTGACACAAAAAAAAAACAGAATCCAGAAAAAAAAGAATAAGGGGAAAAAAATAAAAATAAAATGCAATCTGGGAAAAACAAAACATCTTCAGGCAAATATGTTTAGAATTAAGTGAATAAAACAAAGCAAGCTGTAAGCAAGTCACCCTGAGATAGACTGTGTTCATCTGGAGTGTTCATGAGTGCTGCAGATTAACTCTAACCTGAAGCTTTCTGCCTAACGTTGTTGCGAGCTTTCTCCACAGCGGGAGCTCCAGTGGTGGTGGCACTGCGGAACCTCATGGGTTCCTGAGTGCCCACCTGATCTCCAGAGCTCCTCCAGCTCAAGGAGAACGACCGTGCTGCATCTGTAGACTTCTGGGAGTCCTGCATCACTCCTGAAACACACACACACACCATTACTACTGTAACTGTCTCTGATTCAAACCACAGATATCCAGGGATGTTACTTTACATGCAAAGCAAACATGTCAAAATGACATTCGCAATCCATTTTCTTGACAAGACATTCGATTTAGGGGATGAAAATTAACTTGATTACCCAAAAGAAAGTGACAGTGTATTGTTTATGGTCAATAAACTTGGGATTAATTAATAAAAGTAGCAATTTCACCATAAAAGCATGTAAGTAAAGTCTGCTGTGTTTGATGACTTTCAGTACTGTGTAAAAAAAAAGAATCGAAAAACACACGCTACTGTATCAGAGTAGTTTTATCATATTAACTACACTACACAGCATGTTAGATGGTTTAACATGTTACTCACTCTCATTCAAAAGTTTGTGGTCGGTAAGATTTGGTAATGTCTTTGAGAAAGTCTCTTATGCTCTTCATATTTTTCTGGAAACCATGGTGTATTTTCTTTAGAGTTAACTGCAGTTCAGTTGCAAGGTCAATTGAAGTACAGTTTCTATCAAGCTAAGATGCAGATTTTTACTGCACATTTTTTTTTTAAAAAGGACATGACAGTTTGATAGCCTTTATATAGACACTTAAGAATGTATTGCCTATTAAATCATTATTAATGCATATTTTTCATTTAAAGGGGTCATATGATGCGATTTCAATTTTTCCTTTCGCTTTGGAGTGTTACAAGCTCTTGGTGCATAAAGAAGATCTGTAAAGTTGCAAAGACTAAAGTCTCAAATCCAAAGAGATATTCTTTATAAAAGTTAAGAGTCTGCCACGCCTACCTAAAACGGCTCGTTCTAACACGCCCCCACATATCTACGTCATGATGTGGGAAGATTTGCATAACGCCGCCCAAATGTTCACGCAAAGAAAGAAGGCGTAACTTTTATTCTTGCTGTAGTATTGTTGCTGCCACCATGTCGTGAAGGCGCTGTGTGTTTCGTTGTGAAAGCGAAACTACTTTGTTTGGTCTTCCAAAAGAGGACGATATCCGCTTCGTCATGCCTGGAGCTGATCCGTGCTGGTCGCTGAGGAAATACATCAACTTCACGCTGTCGATCGCCAGATCGGCTTTCACCGTGGACGAAGCGGAGTCCAGCTCGGGGTCGTCACATGTGGTTGCCGCAAGCCTGCCGTTCTCGAGCCCGCCGCCGCTCACTTTAGCCCGCCGTGTGTGACGCTGTGTGTTTCGTTGTGAAAGCAAAACTACTTTGTTTGGCCTTCCAAAAGAAGGCATGACTAGAAATCAGTGGTTAAGTTGTATTTACAACTCTGTTCCAGAACAGTTCAACCCAAATATTCAGATGTGTGCAGCACATTTTATGGAGGATACTTCCTGATCCTGAGAGAGTAAACTACAATGCCGGCTGTTCTGACTCACAGACTGTAAGTACGTTTTCATATTTAAAGGATTTGCCACTGACGATTCAAACGTGAGTTTTGAGCAGTGTAGAGTAGCGCTTGTTGTTTGTCATTTCTCCGATCACAAATGCAGACATGGTGTTATGTTTACGCGGCGCGATGCAACACAATGCTTAAAAAGACAGTATAAGTCATTATAATCCGTAATTATGTCCCCACTGGATGCAACAAATGCCTCGTTTATAATTGGTTTTATTGGTTTTGCCTCATCGCACCGGGACAGGGCATCAACAGTATGGTGAGGGGCGTAACATTTCCGTCACACGCTTGAGGTATTCGGCCAATCACAACGCACTGGATAGCTGGCCAATCAGCGTACACCTCGCTTTTCAGAACGATGAGCTTCGTAAAAATCGTCGCGATTCAAAAAGGCGGGGCATAGAGAAGAAACAATAATGTACAGTATGTGGAAAATAATGTTTTTTTAACTTTAAACCGCATAAACACATTTCATTACACCAAATACACAAAATAATGTTCTTTTTAGCAACATCATATGACCCCTTTAATATTTGTGAGTAAAATAATGTATTTGCAAACATCATGCTTATTTTTAAGCATGTAATTTACACACACACAACCACCCACCCCTGCCCCGCTGCTTCTTTTCCTTCTGCTCTGAGAGCTTGTCCAGCGGTAGGTTGTGGAGGTCCAGGCTGTAGACGTGACGGGCCAGTACTGCGGTGAGAGAGTCCATGATGCTGGCCCACTCGAACACCAGCTCCTCCCAGTGGCTGAGAGAGGACAGCACAGCCAGCAGCTCGTCCCACAGCTCACGAGAGATAAACACGGTCAGGTTGGCCCGCACCCACGCCACGAAGATCGTCTGCAAATGACAGCAGCACACAATTTACACAGCCATTTCAACTACATCATCATACGCAACAAAAACGATCTTACAAGCATTAGAAAGTATTACACCGCACATTTGTATCCCAGCTGAAGAATGGCTGAACTTATGGCATTCACAGTGTGTGACTAGTCATTCCAGGGCTCTAAGGGAACTTTGTTGGAAAAATACAATTTGTTTCTTTATTATGCCCAAAGTGAAAGCAAAACAAAAAGGAATGACAAATCAGGGCTTCTGCTGGAGGCAGTGGGGGTCATTATCGGCTGATCATGTACATGTCTTCTGGTCTTGTCCAGTTTTAAATCTGTTGTGGTCAGAAATACATTCTAGCATAGAGGAAATCGAGATTGAAAAAACAGCTTATATTCTACTTTTTGGCAATATACCTGATTCAGTTAATAATAGGAATAAATATCTACTCAGGATTCTACTAGCAGCAGCAAAGAAAGCGATTACTCGACTATGGCTCCAGCAGCCTCCCCCAACAAGAACTCAGTGGGAACAAATAGTTACAGAAATTTACAAGATGGAAAGACTGACATTCAGGTTGAGACTGCAAGAAGAGGCTTTTAAGAAACACTGGGGAAAATGGACAATCTATATATCAAAATAGAGAGAAGACAGATAAATGCCAAAGTGAAATATGTATATTCATTAATGTAAATGTATGTAATTAGGATCAACGGCTGCTTGATCTAGGAAATGAGCCTAAGGAAATTAGTATTATGTTCATGAATGTATGACCACAAATATTCACGTATACATGCTTACAAATATTTGCTTATATCGTAACCAGTTGACCAGACTGAAATTTCTTTTACTTTTTATGTTATACTTTGGGAAAAATATGTATGTATGTACCCATGAAGGAGTGTTGTTTGATTGTTATTGTGTTGAAGTTCATAAAAAAAAAAAGTTAAAAAAAATAATAAAATGTTTCTTGAGCACCAAATCAGCATATTAGAATGATTTCTAAAGGATCACGTGACACTGAAGACTGGAGTAGTGACTGCTGAAAATTCAGTAGATTTTAAATTATATGGAAATAGAAATTATTTTAAATTAAGAACAATTTACACTTACATTTCTTAGTGTATCAAATAACTGAAGCCTAACTGAAGCGACTTCTTTCAAAATAATCTTATTGACATTGTTCAAACTTTTGAACTGTGTATATAAGTATTTTAATAGTGTAAGAGAAGAAGATTGCATTATTTTTTTTCCATTTCATTTTAAATTAATGTTATATTCATTATAACTAAGTTATATTCACACTGACTTGCAGTAGTACTGACTTCTGGAGAAGCAAATATGCTGTTTTTCTGCTGAAAAAGTTCAGAAGAAAGACTAGATTAAGATGGTGATTCAGACAAGTGTGGTTTGGATATTTTTATGACTGCTGAGCTACAGTTGCTATGGTTATAAAACACTCTTAACAAACAGAATGAATATTACCTATTCCTCTGACACACTCACACAAAGTGCATGTTGTGCTCACCGTTACTGTCGTTGGGCCACACTGTCAAACAGGATGTATGCTCGTGACACATACGTCTGTGTAACTGTCAGCAAAAATGTGTTGTTTTCTAGGACTGCTAGAGCAAATAATTACTTACTTTTTTCTGTAATAGCAATCTGTAATAACAGATCTGTTAGCTAACTTTTGTGCTTTTGTTTTTCAGGGCCATACATTGGTGCACACTGACTCTAAGGGATTCAGACTAAAAAAAATAGTCTGATTTTCAGAGTCAGATCAGCCATTACTCAATTTAACAACAGCGAGGACAGGAGGAGGGGTGAAAAATTGGACCTCTCAGCCACTCTCCTCCAATGTCCCAGAGACACTATGACTGCTGTTGGGTCACCAAACTGCTGAGTGAAACCCCTTGAAACGGCCCTCTGACTCACTCTTACCCAGATATGAAGGAGGTGAGGCTGTGGACAGCCAGTGACGTCTCTGATTGGCTGACCGACGAAGGCGACAATCTATATATCAAAATAGAGAGAAGACAGATAAATGCCAAAGTGAAATATGTATATTCATTAATGTAAATGTATGTAATTAGGATCAACGGCTGCTTGATCTAGGAAATGAGCCTAAGGAAATTAGTATTATGTTCATGAATGTATGACCACAAATATTCACGTATACATGCTTACAAATATTTGCTTATATCGTAACCAGTTGACCAGACTGAAATTTCAGTCTATACTTTGGGAAAAATACTTATGCATGTACCCATGAAGGAGTGTTGTTTGATTGTTACTGTGTTGAATTTCATAAAAAAATTAAAGTATTACACCAGGTAAAACATTCTACTGCCATTAGAGTTTTATCCAAATTAAACAAAGACCTTATACAAAGAGAGAAATTAAAGAATATTAGCTTCATGTTTCTGCATCAGGTCTTATCGAGGTCTTAATGTATGACGTGTAAATGATGAACTGGAAGGAAAACATACCTTTATAATTAGATTTATAAGTTAACGTAAACACTGCCTTACGCAATTTTCTTGTTTCCATACAATGTCTAAAATTAAATGGCAATTGAATCGAATAGATCTTGCAGCTGAACTGTTAAATCTAACAGATGAATCTAATCTAATCTAATAGGATTCTGTTGTTAACTGTAACCTAATATTATATTTATGTGTAGTAATAGGGCTCCCTACTTAGTTTACAGCATAGCTAAGAGAGAAATTTTAATTTGTCTTTTTTTTGTACCGTTACATTCCTAACTAATATATAATAATACAGACTTTATATTCAATTCAATTCAATTGAAGTTTATTTGTATAGCGCTTTTCACGATACAAATCGTTGCAAAGCAACTTTACAGCGAATTAAGTTTCTACAATATTTAGTGGTAGCTTATCAGTGGTGACTGTCAGTTAATGTACATATTTAATACTTATATAAGATGTATTTCTGCGATGTGGGCCAAGAGGCATTGGACTTTAAGCAGCGGATGAAGTATATGGTTTTATAAAATGAAAAATAGGAAGCTGAAATTTTCTGCCTCTGATTGTGCACTGTATAAGTAAAAAAATGGCTTTAATGCATCTAATTATTAGAATACCTAAATCCGTTGCTTGTAAATAGTGTTTGCTTCAGCCAGTTGAAGGCACGGTACAATGTGCGCACATGATCAGGATGGTACCGCCTCCGCCTCATTTTGAGCCTGGAAAAACCCTGTGGTGTGTATGAAGCCTTGGGTTGTTTATTTGTACTCACTTTGAAGAGGATGCTGGCCAGGCTGTGGGCGAACGTGTCTTTTTTTTGGTCCTCCTGTGGTCTCTTCATTACTGCTTCTGTGATTCTCAACAACACCTGCAACAACTGCTCCCTAGAATAATATGACGCGCACAATAAGCTGAATGTTTGTGAACCAGAGCAGAGCTCTATTAATATTCAGTGTTCTTGTGTCGTGTGTGACTGACCAGGTCGGGCGGTTCATGTTTTGCTCCATAATAATGTGCCGGTAGACACTGAGCACAGCTCGGCACACCTCCAGCTGGTTCTCCAGCAGCTTGGGCACATCCTGACACGGCTCCAACAAGAACACGTTGGCAGAGTTTGTCAGGAACACCTGAGAACACATGAAACAATTCATTCTCAACTACACAGCAGGCAAACCTTCCTTGCAAGAAGTAAACAAAAAAAAAGAAACTGCCAGTGCCACAAACATTATATAAACCTATATAATAGCTTTTGTAGCTTGTTAAAGACTAAAAATATGTGAGAAATGTAATAATTCCCATCTTTTATTGTTGTTTTCCATTTTGTTGGGGGTCAGTTTGACCCACATATTTTTTGTTCAAGCAGCACAACACAATTGCTCTTTTTTATTGGTCATGACTACTTGTACTAACTGTACACAAAATGTGCAAATAACTACAATTTACTATAAATAGTATCTAACATTGTACTAAATTTAAGTAGCATTTATTGCTATTTGTACTTTGCCTTTTTCTCAAATCTTTGTGAGGGTAAACTCACAATTCTTTCAGAGCTGCAAAAGTGTAATAATTAAAATCCAAAACATCAAAAACAACCTCTGAAGGATTTTTTGACTGTGAAACTTAAAGTCCCCCTGTAGTGAAAATCTTATGTTGTTTATTTGTCTATATGGTGTTTTTAATTTGCTTTTAGACAAACCATGTGCCAATCCATTAATCAACACCCTTGCTGAGTATTTTCTCCTTAAAACTGTAGTTTCCCAATAACAGTCCCAGAAACGTGGTTTGAAACAGCCCTCGGTTTGCCGTGTCACAAAATTCAATAACCAATCACGTCAAGGGATAGATTCCTATCATTAGCATATCCCTCTCTCCATTTATACAAATGCGGTGCGCATAAAGATCATAGCATAGAGATCGCATGCACAATATAGTATTACCAGCACAAAACCAAAAATAAAATAGAGCAAAAAATCCATGAAGCCGTAGTTTAACGTGAATTTAGAACCGCTAACTTGAATAATAGCGCGCGAATTAAGAATCACAAACTTGGCTGCATCTTGTCTTCAAGGCATTTTGAGGACACAACATCGTCAAGTAAGTAACTTTAACGACTGTTACAGTGTCCGCTGTAGTTGTCCGCTAGTAAAAACATAGTTTTATCAGTCATTATCCGTGGATCAGGAGGCCTTGGCTGGTATGACTGAGTGGAGGCGGGGCTAATTTGCATATTCATAGATCTGTGCATAGTAAATGAGGCAAGGGTGTAGAGTTACATTCAAGCTATTTTAAGGCATGAGAAAATTATTTTCAGAAGAAAAAAACATTTAAATATGTAATTTTAATGATCAAAGATGTGTTTTAAGGGATACAATTTTTGACTACAGGGGGACTTTAAATAGATAAGAAATTTAGCTTTTCTTTCTTTCTTTCTTTCCTTATTTTTTAAAGTTTAAAAAAGCATCTATTTGAAAAAATTAAAAAAATTGTATCACTGTTAATGTCTTATAAGTTATAATTGTATTATTTATCAGTTTAATATGTCTATGCTGAATACAATTATTATTATTATTATTATTTCTTTTTTTTTTTACTTGCTCCAAACATTTGAATGGTATCACGGTTTCCAAAAATAAATAAATATATATATATATAAAGCAGCACAATCATTTTCAACATAGATAATAACAACAACAAATCATATTAGAATCAAAGCATATTAGAATGATTTCAGAAGGACCTGAAATATATTCAATTATAAAACATTTCCTTTAAATTGTGATAATATTACTGTTTCATGTTAAGCTGAGATGAGAGGGTGTGTGTGTGTGTGTGTGTGTGTGTGTATACTTGTTTATGCTACATTGTGGGGACCAAATGTCCCCACGAGGTAAAAAAAAATTAACAATAGAAAATTATGTTTATCTGAAAGTGTAACAATGCAAACAGGTTTTCTGTAAGGGGTAGGTTTAGGGTTAGGGGATAGAAAATATCGTTTGGTCAGTATAAAAGTAATAGAAGTCTATGGAAAGTCCCAATAATTCACAGAAACAAACATGAGTGTGTGTGTGTGTACGCGTTTTTGTGACAAATGAGGACATAAATGTGTATAATGACAAAGGTATGACAGGTATTACAAGGAGAAGGGGACTTTTCAGGACATTACCCCATGTCCCCACTTTTCAAAACGCTTATAAATCACACAGAATGGAGTGTATTGAAAATCTGAAATAGCAGAAAGTCTCCTGTGAGGGGTAGGTTTAGGGGTAGGGTTGGTGTAGGGCAATAGAATATATGGTCTGTACAGTATAAAAACCATTACGCCTATGGAGAGTCCCCACTTTTCACAAATGTAAACCTGTGTGTGTGTGTGTGTGTGTGTGTGTGAGAGAGAGAGAGCACCTGCAGGGTGGGCTGGATGCCAGCCTTCATGTCCTGGTTCTGTTCTTCAGTCAGACAGCCTCTGCTGATGGCACTGCTGAAGGAGTAAGTGCGCCCCCAACTGGATGATCGTTTGTGTCCATGAGTCTCCAAGACCTGACGGGTTAACACAGAGCAGCAGGTCAGTGGAAATAACTTAATGAATCAGCATCAACAGTATTTTGTGTATGAGCGTACCTGCAGGGTGGGCTGGATGCCAGCCTTCGTGTCCTGGTTCTGTTCTTCAGTCAGACAGCCTCTGCTGATGGCACTGCTGAAGGAGTAAGTGCGCCCCCAACTGGATGATCGTTTGTGTCCATGAGTCTCCAAGACCTGACGGGTTAACACAGAGCAGCAGGTCAGTGGAAATAACTTAATGAATCAGCATCAACAGTATTTTGTGTATGAGCGTACCTGGACGTGTGCAGTGTCCGTCTCAGAGATGAGGTGCTCTTCCTCTCCATCTTCCTCCTGGCTTGTTGTCTCAGGCTCAGCCATGAAATTAGGTTTTTCCTGCAGAATCCACTTCCTATATACTTTGATCACCTTGCGAGTGGCTGAAGCTTCACAGGCCGGCAGAAGGAAAGCCTAAGTAACGATAAAGCAGAAATTATACACACTCTCACAGTTTTTACAAGTCTCATCTTCTATAACAGGGACTTTTGAACTGTTTGATACCAAGGGTCCTCTTATAGCATATTGTAAAATGTAAAACAACAGTTATACAAATTGTTTCCAAAAACAAAAAAACTTTTCTACTCTGAATTTTTTACTTGGTTTAATTCAGGGGTTAAAGCAAAAAAAATTAATAAAAAAATCTTTTGACTGAAAAAAAGCAGTTTTTTTCTTGTAATTAAGAGCACTTGTCCTAATTAAAACAAATTTGGAGCACCTTCTAATCAATAATAAAACATTCTGACCAAAAATGTGCCTTCCTAATACGAGGTGACATTTGACTCAAAGTTATTTACAGGGGCATTTTCTTTTTACCTTTGTAAATGCATTTTTCTCATTTTATTAAATGCATGCAGTGTTTCCTCTAGGATTTTTTTCCAGCTGTGGTGGCAGGACTATTTCCCATGGACCACATCCCCTCCCCACCCAAGAATCACGTGCACTCAGAATTGAATTGATTTTAACTAAAAAAGACAAATAAATAGTAAAATAATAAAACAAGAACAAATAAATTAATTACAATCAATAGCACAAACAAAAACAATAAGATACAAATTTAATTAACAGTACTTTAATTTTTTTTCAGTTAGGTCTAACTATAATCTATTCAACTGTAAAATAACACTGATAGTCTTCACTGTATAATGAAAGACAGCAGAAGGTTTATTTAGGCTGCTGTCTCTTTAAGACCTCATGCACGAATCTCATATACTGTTACACATGGCTCTATGCTTACTTTTCTTTTTAGGAGCGCTTGTCCTCCTAATTTAAAACATTTAGGAGAACCTTCTGATCAATAATCAAAAATTCTGATCAAAAGGTGACATTTGACTCCTTAAAGTGACTTGCAGGGGTATTTTCTTTTTACTTTTGTAATGGCATCATCTGTCAAATTCAAAAATGTATGTTTATAAGCTTTAAAATTTATATTTAAAACAATATAATAAGAAGTAGAATAAGACAAATAAATTACCAATCATGAAATTAGTATTAATAAAAAAATGATTTGTACTACAGAGGTGGCACAGAAGAACACAAAAGTGGCTTGTAGGTTGGGGTGTGCAATATAATATCATCTGCGATAATATCGTAATTGTTGTTTTAATGATGTGCAATTTGACATTATCGAGTATTTTGCAAAAAACATTCAAAACACCCCTACAGAGTGCAGTGAAGTCTAGTGTTGGGCGATATGGTCATTTTTCAAATCGTCATATCGCCAGTCCGTGAGATCGCCAATAGACGATATTATCGTGCATGGGTGGGTGAGGCAAGAGAGAGACTTTCTGTACTTGTCATAGGCTAGTTCATAACTATCTGGTGTTTTAAACCGCACGCGCGAGAGAGATGAAGCCTATGGAAGCACCACAAATCTAAATAATATACTTTCAAACATACTGATAAACTAACATGTTAAATACAAAAATATTTAAAACAGCTAGTTCATATATATTCGGATACAACAGTCATACATCGCTATTAGGAGCGCGCATCCTGTGACAAGTTTGCCGCTTCGACGCACGGAAGTTATCAGTCTGGTCTTCAAAATCAGTCAACGGTGGAAATTAAAAGTAGATTTATCTTAAAGACCAACAGTTTAACACTAAATATTGGACATAAAAGAACACGTTAAATATAAAGTATTTAAAACAGGTAAGTTCATAATATTTGGAGTAAATTTAAATTAAACAGATACATCAGTCATACAGTGCTCCTTCACCGATTACAGGCTCCTCATTTGCGCGCACGTGTGTGTGTGTGTGTGTGTGTGTGTGTGTGTGTGTGTGTGTGTGTGTGTGTGTGAAATACAGTGCTGAAAGCGGGGTAATTTGATAATAATAGCCAAATTATAATGGGCCGCCTAATAATAATATTATTATTATTAATACTTTAATAGGAGAATGAGCCTAATATCGTCTTGACTATTGACAAAGACATCTGCTATCGTCGATATCTCTGACTATCGTCGATACACGATACTATCGTCACAACCCAAGTGAAGTCTAGACTAGTGCGCGTGTGCATAAGAGTGCGTTCTTTCACTGCATGATTCAGTCTATTAAAATGCATTTAGAATGATCACAAATTCAAGACATGATGGCAGAAAATGTATATATTTATTAGGTCTGCACGATAAATCGAAATGGAATCGAAATCGCAATTCGACAGAAGCTGCGATTGTCATGTGTATCTTTCAGTGAAGCACGGTTCTGTGATCAGCAGTAAATCTCCATCCAAAGGCCAGAGGGCGCTCTCACGCTGAAACTCCAAATACACCTCGCAGAAGAAACCCAGGAAATGCCTATAGTGGTAGCTGGATAAACAGAAGATTTATCTGCTTTTATTGATTCAACGTGACTAATGAACACACGATTATGACAATATATGGTTTATCTGAGTTATTATTATTTTCATTAAAATAAAGTATATTGATAATGCAATGCCTTTATCACTGCTTAAATACTATGAAATATGTTGCGTGCCTTATTCTGTGTAAGAAGCCACATCATCTCACAGAAGGATTTATTTCAAACACTCGACTGACGTTACGAAGTGTTTTTTATTATGTTATTAAATGTGGTATTTTCACATGCTTTCAGATGGAGCAGCATTTACTTCACAGAGCCGTAGTTCACTGAGAAGCTATGCAAACAGCTGTCATTATCGCGAACGATTTCTTCAATTTCATAATCGCGCAATAATATCATCTGTGATTTTTTTGCGTAACTTGTCAGTGAACTACGGCTTTGTAGTAAATTCTGCTCCATCTGAAAGCACGTGACGATGATTTCCTACTGATTACAGAACCGGCTTTACTAATAAAATGCACATGACAATCGCATTCGATTAATCGTGCAGCACTAATATTTATACCATTTCATATAGTTAATAATTAATTTCACACGAAGAGTGCCGTTTTTCTCCAAAATATTACCATAATTACAAATGTAATGTTGATTTTTTTTTTACAACAGTTCAATAAACAAGACGTTAATTAAGAGACTTATGTTTTAGACACCATATTGCCTGTTTTTGCTCTATTTCGACAACAAAAATAATTCCAAACAAAGCCACAACACTGTTTTGCGTCTCTGAGCAACATGACGGTGTTTCGTTCCTGAATGAATCAACCGTTTAAATGATTCGGTTCAATCGCAATGACTCACTTATTAACAGTGACTTGCTGCCACCTACTGGCGGTTTTAATTTCACATTTAAAGTATCTTTTATTATTTAAATAATTTCAAATACCAGTATTCAACGTTTCATGTTTAATACATCAAAACATTATTTATGCATTTGTAATTGCTGGTTAAATGCATTCATGTCTTGCATTAAACAGTGTGTAAATACATCTAAATGCCACTTCAGATGCAGCTTCTGTGTTGATTTCATTTGCTTGGTAACAGACCAGATGTCTTATTATTCTAATTCACTGATTAAATGTAAGAATTTCACTCAAAAGATAATGGACACTTGGGTAAAAATGCCCATAAAATGTAAAAATAAGTTTAAACTTATTGGAAAAGATTAATTTCTCTCAGTGTGAACTGACCACCACACAGAATATGAAGAATATTAAAAACTTTAGGAGTCAGCTGTCCACGGCAGTCCTTAAGGTACAAGCGCAATAACACACTCAGCAAAATATCGTCATCGATAAAATCGCAGAAAATAGAGATATTATTTTTTGTCAAAATCGCACACCCCTACTTGTTAGGTACATTTTCAGACGTTTAATGAGGCTCAGAGGTGGCATGAGTGCAATTAAATTCATGAATTCATGTGGAGATTAATGTTTTAAATATAAAATTTTTAATACAGAAATATTAAATGATTTAAATAACTGAAATTAAATGTTAAAACGAAACAATCTTCCAGCAGGTGGTGGCAAGTCACTGATTTTATCACTGAAGAATTAATTCAATTGATTCGTTCGAACGGCTGAATCATTCAGGATTGAAGCAAGTGACTGTCTTTATGAATGGGTAATCATGAATCACTGACTCATTAGATTCGTTCAAAAACGCACTTTCATTCATGAATGAAACACCGCTGTGTTTGCTTTTAGAGATGCGCAGCGGCTCACCTGTCACTTTATTTGGAACTATTTTTGTTGATGAAATAGAGTAAAATCAGGCAGTAATTGTTTATTGAACTGTTGTATTAAATCAATATCACATTTGCAAACTCCCTTAATAATTATTAAAAGCTGTCACTCTTCTTATCACGATCTGTGGGCACGCAGAAAATGAGAGCGAGCGAGTGAGTTCTCAAGACTCAAAAGCATGTGCAAATGATACGTTCCGGCATCTGTCATCACGTTATAAGTGCGGAACCTGCGGGAATGAGTAGAATTGTTATTAATAGCCGCAATAAGTACCGCCACTCCCTATAAGCAGAGTACGCAGCATGCGCAGGGCACCAACTCCCAGGGGGGCACAATCCCAGTTACTCAAATAAAAAACTTTCATTCTATATTAATATTAAAATGTACATAAATACAAATATAAACATGACCATTATATATATATATATATATATATATATATATATATATATATATATATATATATATATATAT